GATGTGGTGTGAGGATGTGGTGTGAGGATGTGGTGTGAGGATGTGGTGTGAAGATGAGGTGTGAGGATGTGGTGTGAAGCTGTGGTGTGAGGATGAGGTGTGAAGGTGTGGTGTGAAGGTGTGGTGTGAGGATGTGGTGTGAAGATGTGGTGTGAGGATGTGGTGTGAAGCTGTGGTGTGAAGTGTGGTGTGAGGATGTGGTGGGACTCATTCACAACGGTATCTGTGCTCCCAGCTTTGCTTTGTCCTCTTTCTGTGTGCTAGGAGCCTTGTCTGCCATTTTGGATGGTATCTGGACTCTAATTTAAATGAGACATTTATTATTAAACTCAGACATCATGCTCATGGGCTATTTTCATTTCTTCAGTGGGCAGTTGCAGTTTTGGCACGCAGTAAAATGCACGAGAAATTACTGTACCTTAACATTTTTTCAGTGGGGAAATCTAACTAATTTGTATAAACCCCAAAGTGCTTTCTTTAACATCACAGCTGTTTATATCACGGGCTTAGAGAATGAATGAGTGAGCCTTTCACTTGCACCCTGAGAAAACCCCTGACTTAATTCTAAATGTCCCTGAGTGTGGCAATAGTCAGTGTCCAGCTCCACTTGCATCTCCAAAATACACAGATTCTCACATCTGTTTCGAATCAATGGAACACAGCAATGGGAATCAGCTGTGAGCGTCAAGGAACAATGTTAAACATGAAAGTGTCTCAGGAAACCAAACAACAACAACAATCCCCAAAGCAGAACTGATGTGTAACCCCACTGTCCCACTTCTGAGAAGACACCTGAGGGAATTTAAGCCTGCCCTCATTCATGGCAGAACCCTTCCCAAAGTCCAGCCAAAGCCCAATTGTAAGGTCAGCCTGGATGTCCGTCCACAAATGAGTGGACAAAGAAAATGGGGTGTGAATGCACAATGGTGTGCTCTTAAATTTTAGTTATGCATGTACGTGCATCTGTGCACCACGTGTGTGCCTGGTGCCTGTGGAGGCCAGAGGAGGCGTTGGATGCCCTGGAACTGGAGTTGCAGGAGGTTGCGGGCTGCTCTGTGGGTGCCGGGAATCAAGCTGGGTCCTCTGGGAGAGCAGCAAACACTCCTAAAGGCTGAGATGTTCCTCCAGCTCCCACAATGCTGTTTATTCACTCAAAATGGATTAAACTAAGTCATTCGTGGGAAATGGGTGACACTGGAGACCGTCATATTAAGCAGAAGGAGATTGTGGGATGGGGAGGGAGACAGGAGAGGGCAATGGGTAAATATGGTCAAAGTCCGTGATAAACTTGAATGAAAGCATCACGAGACCCACCACTTTGCACAGGGAATACATGCTAATGGATTTTTTAACGGTGGTAGCAGCAAAGAAAGAGCTGCACTGGCCAGAGAGGCCAGGGTCTCCAGAGAGTCCTCTCCCTGGTGGAGCAGCTGGGTTTGCCTGCCTCCCCTTCAGCGTGTGGGGTGATTACGACAGTGAGCAGATGACCTGTGTGAGCTCAAACCAGACAAAACCCCAGCATGGAGGGGGAGATGGGCACGAATCCTGTCACTAGCTGAGAAGCTATCGGCGACTGATAGCTGCTGGGAGGGGGGCCGTTCTTCCTGCAGGGCGCCGCTCCTGGCAGGCTGACCAAGCTCAGCAGATGGCCACACACTGGAGTGTATTGATAGCACACATCGCACTGGGTGGAGGGGGAGGGAGAGGTGGAGACACGGTTGTATGGGTGGCGCAGGGGGCGGAGTCTGGGAGGAGTTGGCGAGGGAAAGAATGTGGTCAAAATCCATTGTATGAAGTCCTCAAAGAAGTAATAAAAATGCCGAAGAGGGGCTGGGGAGGTGGCTCAGTAGTTAAGAGCACTGGTTGCTCTTCTGTAGGACCTGGGTTTGATTCCCAACACCCACAGAGTGGCTCACAACCATCTGTAACTCCAGTTCTGGGGGATCTGACCTTCTTCTGGCCTCCATGGGCACTGAGCACACACAGGGCGCACAGACACACATGGGCAAAATACCCATACACGTAAAATAAAATCAAATAGTTCTTTTTAAAAGAATGAGTAAAAAGGAGTGTGTGTGTGTGTGTGTGTGTGTGTGTGTGTGTGTGTGTGTGGTTGAAAGAGGATTTTTCAAGGCACTAGGGTTGCCACAGGTGAGTGGATGCCCCCTGGTGCCCTGGGCCCCTGTGCACATACCTGCCACTTGGAGCAGCACGCTTGCCTCCCTCCAGTAGTCCCCTTCCTGGAAGCGGCACCAGTATTGCCCATCGTCACCCGGCTGGACCTGGCGAATCTTCAGAGCCACACTCCCCTCGTCAGTACTGTCCTCTGTCCACTCCGCCCGGCCTCTGTACCCCTCCATCTGTAGCCCCGACACCTCGGCTCCATCCCGGTGCGCAATCACAGGCGTGTTGGGGTCGGAGCGGTACCACCTCACCTCCATGTGCGCCGTTGTCCTCTTGGGGAGGAGCTGACATGTTAGCAGGGCATCTTCCCCGACTCTGGTGAGGACAGGGTGAGCAGGACCGACTACCCTGAATTCATCTACAAAACAGTGAAAAGGGAAACAAGCTAACAGACCCAGATGCTTGTTTCCAGTAGCCAAGGTGCTGGAATGTGGTACCAGCAGGCAGGAGGGATTTAATGTCAACAATTCAGAGAATTCAAGCATGGGAATCTGTACATTTTTTTGGTTAAAAAAGAAACTGTATGCATCCTAAAGTTTAAAAATTTGAGTGTGAATGTGTCACCAGCCTTGTGATTGGGAGGTAATTCCACGGTTAAGGAGCCTTTGAGATGGGGATTTTTTTTAAGGTATTTTATTTTTAATTATGCACCTTTGTGTGGGTACACACATATGTGTGCAGACCAGATGAGAACATTGGTTCCCTAGGAGCTGGGGTTACAAGTAGTTGTGAGCCATCTGCCGTAGGTGCTGGGGACTGAACTCAGGCCTCTGGAGGAGCATTTATCACTCTCAACAATGGAACCACCTCTTCTGCCCTGAGATTTGCACTCTTAAGCGGCCCATCTCTAAGACACTAACAGTGACAACACCTCTGGATTTCATTCCCGAATAAATTAATACGTGAGTTGATGTTTCCCCGGGGAACTTTATCTCGGTTCTATAGCCATTCTGAGTTTAGACAAATCAACACTGCCACTAGGTCCTGCAGCCTTCCGGGGTCACTCATGCCAGCAAGGGAGCTGACTTGGTTTTCTCCTTCCTTCTGGAGAAGGCAGAAGTCCAGGAGGTGGCAAATGGGGGCCTCATCGAGGGTTAGAGGCATGGCTTGCCTAGAAAGTTTGAGTCTTCTGGTCAAATTTTAAGTCATCTTCCTTGGTATCTGAAAATCAGAGAGATGTCTGGTCATCCTGTTTGTTGCTGCCTTAGGGTTTCTATTGCTGTAATGAAACACTATGACCGAAGAGCGAGTTGGGGAGGAAAGGGTTTATTAGGTTTACACTTCAGCAGTGCTGTTCATCACTGAAGGAAGTCAGGACAGGAACTCAAACAGGGCAGGATCCTGGAGGCAGGAGCTGAGGCAGAGGCCATGGAGAAGAGCTGCTTACTGGCTTGCTCCTCATGGCTTGCTCAGACTGTTTTCTTACAGAACCCAGGACCACCAGCCCAGGGATGGCATCACTCACCATGAACTGGGCCCTCGTCCCTTTATCACTAAATGAGAAAATGCTTTACACCTGGATCTCACTGAGGCATTTCCTCAACTGAGGCTCCTTCCTCTGATAACTCTAGCTTGTGTCAACTTGACACAAAACCAGCCAGACAGTTGCTATGTCTAAGAATTTCAAGCATGTATACTATGTTCTTCCTCTGCTGTTTCAGCAAGAAGGATTAGGAGTTCAAGGTCCATCTGGGCTACCATGCGAGTTGGAGGCCAGCCTGGGCTACGTGAAACCCTGTCCAGGGAGAGGGAGGGACTCAGAAGTTTAGCAGACACTTGCGGCCAAGCATGAAGAACTGAGTTCAAGTCCTAGGGTCCACATGGTGGAAGAATAGAACCAGCTCCAGCAAGTTGTCTTCTGACTTCCACACACGAGCCTCGGCATGCACATGAGCCCCCCACCTCATGTAATGTTAAAAGATAATACAATAAAGTAGTCATAAAAATAAATTTACTTAATTCAGATTTAAGATGAAATAAAATGATACTGCTCAAAAATTCTCTCCAGAACCTAAACAGAGATCTTGTGTCTTTTGTTGGTGGGATTTACATGTCACGCCTTATCCACAGTGTTTGAGTATTGAGTGAAAACTGGACATGCTCCAGCTACAGACTCAGTTGCGCTTTCCAGGTGACTTTCATTGCCGCCTAAAGTTGTTACTCGCGCCTAAGAGATGAGCAATGAAGGCAAGAGCTTTCGGAAGCCGGGGGGTGTGAAGCCCAGCGTGAGTCCTGGACCTCTACACCCTGAGCTATTGCACCTCTGGCTGGGTTGTGCATCTTAGATCCTCAGGGCATGCCAGCAAGGGCGGAAGGGAGCCTACCTGGGTGCTTCACAGTCAGCAGGATGAAGAGCAAGGAGGCAGCCACACCAGACAGACTGTACCCTGGACAATCCGCCATCCTCCCTGGAGCAAACACAGGAGAAAGTGCCGCTGTGATATACCCAGTACGCCCTGCAGTTTCTGCCGTGTGTGTGTGTGTGTGTGTGTGTGTGTGTGTGTGTGTGTGTGTGTGTGTGTGTTGTCAGCTTGACACATGCCAGAGCACTGGTTCTCAACCTTTCTGATGCTGTGACCCTTAATGCTGTGACCCTTAAATACAGTTCCTCATGTTGTGGTGACCCCCAAGCATAAAACTATTTTTCCAGTTGCTACTTCATAACTGTAATTTTGTTACTGTTATGAATCGTAATGTAAATATCTGTGTTTTCCAGTGGTCTTAGGCCACCCCTGTGAAAGGTTCATTTGACCTTCAAAGGAGTCACCACTTGTAGGTTGAGAAAGGCTGAGTTATAAGAGGAACCCTCAGTGGAGAAACTGCCTCCATCAGATTGGCTGGTGGGCAAGTCTATAAGGCGTTTTCTTGATTAATGATTGATGGAGGAGGGTCCAGCCCACTGTGGGCGGTGCCACCCCCCACAGGTGGGCCTGCACCATATAAGAATGCCAGCCAAGCAAGCCACAGGGGGCAAGCCAGTAGGCAGTGTTGCCCTGTGGTCTCTGCTTCAGTGCCTGCCTCCTGTTCCTGCTTGAGTCCCTGCCCTGACTCCCTTCAGAGTAGATGGTAAGCTGTAAGACGAAATTAACCCTTCCCTCCCCAGGTTGCTTTTGGTCTTGTCGTTTGTCTCCGTAATAAAAAGCAAGCCAGGACAGTGTCCGATGGCTACGCCATCTTAATAAATAAACATCACCAAACCCTCACCATCAAACCATGGTCTGTCTCTGTTCTCTGCAGTTACTGGTCACAGCTGACTCCCTTCCTCACAGCTGACCTCTCCCCATGGGGTTGCACAGGAAGTTACTCCTTAGGTTCCACACCTCTCACACCTCACATAGCCCAGGCTGGCTTCTACCTTGCTGTGTAGCCAAGGACGACCTTGAACTCCTCCCTCTACCTCTTGTGAGTGCTGAGATTGAAATTCCATACACCGGGAGGCAAATACTGAAGAGGATGAGGCAGGTGGATGTCCAATTTGAGGCCAATCTGAGCCGAAGGAAGTTTTCTGATTGGAATGAAAATCAGTCCCGAGCTAAGGAGACAATAACAATAAAAAGAGACTCAGCCTGGTGGCTCACTAAAAGCCCAGTACTCAGAAGGCTGAGGCAGGAGGATTACCATGAGTTGGAAGTCAGTATGGGCTATAGAGTGAGAGCCTGCCTCAGAACACCACTCTCTGAGAAATGTGCAGTGGAGATCAACAGGAAGTGAGAGCTATTGTCACCGGTGGCCATTTCCTGACAGGATGCTGCCTGTGTGTAGGCTCTACTTCCTCGTGTTAGGAGACTCCCCCAAATCCCATGTCTATCCTTCACTAGAGACTCTCCAAGCCACTCACCTGTCTCTCTCTCTTTTGGGGTGAAATCGAGGCTGTTGAGTTGTGTTGTCTCACTCAACCACAGGTGTGTCCCTCATCCACACAGCAGGTGTCTAGAGACGGGTGAGCCCAGGACACACTGGCTGGAGAGGCAGCTGCGGAGCAGGAGCAGTCGGGGGAAGTGGAGGTATCTTCGGGTTGGGTGAGGGGAGATTTGAATGTTGCCAACCAGAGCCAGGTCCCCGAGGTTCACTCTAAAATGAGACTGCAGTCAGAGCAGCACACTCATCTCTGGCCCATTGCGCTCGCTCACAAGTGAAACCCAGAGGACGGGTGGACTTTGACTGGGCTCCGCTCTGATTTCGCTAGACTTCTAGGCACAGCTATTACATTGACATCTTAACCTCATCAGAACGCCAGCACTCAGGCTGGACTCTGCTCCACATCCTGTTCAGCAGGCAGGACCTGCCATCTGATAGCGCCCCACGTCATGGCTACCTTTGTCCTGCCTGCCAGCTTGCTGAACATCCGCAATTCCCCATGTAGGACCAAGCTCACCTCAGAACATGGAGTCTGTGGGCCTGCAGAATTGGGAGCATGACTGTCTATCTACACCTGATCTTAACTCTGCTGAGGAGAAAACTAAAGCAGGGATGTTCCTTCCCTGAGACCAGAGCATCAGGCCAAGGTGTCCTGTGAGCCAATTTATCTTTTCTTTTTCTTTTTCTCTTTCTCTTTCTTTCTCTCTCTCTCTCTCTCTCTCTCTCTCTCTCTCTCTCTCTCTCTCCCTCTCTCTCTCTCTTTCTTTCTTTCTTTCTTTCTTCCTTTATTTCTTTTTCTGGAAAAAAGTTCTGTTTTGTGTGTGTTCTTTTTTATACAGGGTTTTCTGTGTAGTCTTGGATGTCCTGGAACTCACTCTGTAGACCAGGCTGGCCTGGAACTCAGAGATCCTCCTGTCTCTGCCTCCTGAGTGCTGGGATTAAAGGTGTGTGTCACCACCGCCTGATTTTGCAATGGTTAGTTTTAATTGTCAGCTGATCCAATGTAGACTCTCCATGAAGGATTGCATCAACGGGGTTGGTCTGTGGACAAGTCTGTGAGGGAATATCTTAGTTGGGTTAGTAGAGGTGGAAAGACTCCGGCCTGCAATCCGAAGGCACCATTTCATGGACTGGGTCCTGAGCTGCAAGTGAAGCTTCCTGAGAGTGAAGAGGCAAGGTGAGCTGAGCAGACATTTACAAGAGCAGAGCATTCATGACATCACAGGAGCAGAGCAGCCATGGTATCACAGAAACAGAGCAGCCATGATATCACAGGGGCAGAGCATCTATGACATCACAGGACCAGAGCAGCCGTGACATCACAGGAGTGAGCAGCCATGACATCACAGGACCAGAGCAGCTGTGACATCCCAGGGATCTGCAGCCAATCCGGCTTTCTTAGGAAAACCTTTCAGAGGAGATTTACCACTTGAAGTAACGCAGAACTAAAGAGAATGAAGAAACTAAAGAAAGCAGGGGTTGGAGTGGGGCAAGAGCAAGGGGAGGAAAGAGAGGGAAAGAGGGAGAGGGAGGGAAGGGAGAGAGGGAGAGAGGAAGAGAGGGAGGGAAGGAGAGAGGGAGGGAAGGGAAGGGAGAGAGAGAGGGAGG